GCGACAGCGGGCGGCCCCGCGTCGAGAGCTCGAGCGCCGTCGTCGCGTGGCTCCTGGGCGTCGCGTGGCTCCTCTGCCCCGCCCCGCTCGCGCCGCGCCCACGCCCCCTGCCCCCGGGCGGAGTCGCGGACGGATCGCGCTCGAAAGCCTGCGTTTAAATGCGACAGAGGCGACGAGACATGACGGAAGGGCGCGGTTACTATCGTGGGCATTGCCTAATGGTAGTTTACGCAATTGCTTTATAAGGCTTTTTGCATGAGTACATCTGTTGAAAAGAAGTGACGTTAGAAGCGAGTTTTCATATTTGTATGGATGCAATACATAAACACTATAAACGAGATCCATACGCGTTTTTTGCATAACAGTATCATAACGTTATAAGAATCAAACTTAATTTTGCAAAGCGATTTTCTTGTGACGTCTGTGTGAGCAAACGGTGGACGTCTGTTCCGTTTCCCTTGACCTCCCCACGATTCTTTTGCTGTGATGACGCGAACATTCGTGTCGTAAAATACTTCATTATTTGTGCCAAAAAAATGCACGATTATGAACATTTCTTGCATCAGAAAAGGTCGTTTATAATGTTGGTATAAAAAAAATTCTCGACACCCCATTAATCTGAGTATTCAATCTTTTCAAAACTTTTTTATGATATTGATATTAGTGGAGGAAGAAGAGAATGCTTTATTTGAAAGCAGATAATGTTGTTAATGGATGTAAATAAAATTCTCTCAATGAAAATTGACTGTTTGTTTTATTGTCATTATTGCATGTTTAATATCAGATTCTTTCGCTGAAGAAATTATAATCTAATGTAGGTATCTTTCGTATTTAGTATGTCTAAACGACTTTCAAGCTCCTTGACTGACATTATAGGGAGTGTTTCTGAATTAGAGCAGGTAAATGATCTCGATTTAAATATGGCGTGTGTTGTATACAACTAATGTTAATAAAATTGAACCTTTCTCCAGACTGAAAGAGACTGATCAACCAGACGACTGTCAACCGTCAACGATCAATCCATCAACTGTCTTATGATGAAACCACGTACCCCAACGTTTTAGTAATATTGACTTAAATAAACGAATTTTCCTGAATTTATAAAATGTCAGTTACACTGTTCTGAGTTTCCTCCATTCATACTCTTTGAGATCAAAAGTATCCGGACAAGTGGCTGAAAATGACTTATCGGTTCGTGGCGCCCTCCATCGGTAATGCTGGAATTCAATAGGGTGTTGGCCCATCTTGGCCTTGTTGGCAGTTTCCACTCTTGAAGGCATACTTTCAATCAGGTACTGGAAGGTTTCTTGGGGAACAGCAGCCCATTCTTCACGGAGTGCTGCACTGAGAAGAGGTATCGATGTAGGTTGGTGAAGCCTGACACGAAGTGGGAAGCAAGAAGGTGTTTAAAACAGCAATGTAGGCCCGCGTCGTGTTGTTAGTCACACAAAATAACAAGGGTTGCAAGCCACCTCCATGAAAAACACGACCACACCATAACACCTTTTTGGACGTGTCCGGAAACGTTTAATCACATGATGTATATATAATGTAATGTAATTGTCACCATCCTGTCACCTTTTTGAACTCTTTTACGCTCGGAAATATTTTCCGCGTCAGTAAAGAATACCAAGTTGTGACTTGGTTGAGCAACAAATTGTTACGTATCTACTAAACTTCCGTCCCGCAACAGTATATGCTCCTGTAGGCGCCCACGATCGTGAGTTTTCACAATAATTTCAGCTGCCGCTGCATTCCAGTTACACAACATCGTTGTCCGTTAATCTCACTCTTGAGATAATGTCAAATAAAACACATAAGAGCCTACAAAAATAACATTTTCCGTGAGTAATGGGTGACTAATCAATTAGCTGTTAACTGTTACCTGCTCTGTTCCTGCGAATGTTGTGTTCTGTATTCTGAACCGATTAATAACTACTACCTTTCCCAAGGCCGCCACAGCAACCTATTACATTACTTAATTGTTCGTTCCCCTATAAGTTGATACTTAGTTATATTTTCGTTTCGCAACACAGATGTAAGTAATTTGTATTTTGTAGAACGTCCACTTACATAACGAACGAATCACTCCGATCTCCGTCC